CGGCCAGCGCCTTCTGCCGCAGGGCCTGGAGCCGGCGCTGGGGGCTGAGCTGGTGGCTGAGCAGGGCCCCCACCTGCGCCCGCTCGATGGAGCCCAGCAGGATCATGGACTCTGCCGGCAGCAGCGAGGGGCCCCGTTGGCACCTGGAAATCCCTTCACCATCCACCCCCACCATCTCAGCTTGCCCCACGGTGGTGGCAGGTGCCAGCACAGCCCTCTGCCTGCATCTCACCAGCCGACTCCACCAGAGGCAGGCTCTTCATCTTTGTGCTGTGCAGGATGTGTTGCAGGTCCCGGTACTTGCAGTTGAGGGTGACGTAGCGGATGTCGCGGACCATGATGTCCTCCACCCGCACGTTGTATTTCCTGCCACGGTGAGGGGTAACAGTGGCCTCAGGGTGATGCCACCCCCTCCCCTTGTGCCTGGTGGGAGACTTGGGGACAAGGTAGGGGACACAGACTCACTCATGGTGGCCCCAGCCCAGCTCGGGCAGGTATGGCAGCTTCTTGATGCGGATGATGCTGTCGTAGAGGGAGGGCTGGAGGCTCTGGGCCACAGCGTTGGCCAGGATGACAGCAATCATGACAGGCAGGATGTGAGAGATTTGCCCCGTCAGCTCAAAGACGATGACAGCCGTAGACACTGTGTGGGTGACAGCGCCCGACAGCGCAGCAGCCCCTGTACCCATCCCCAGGAGATACAGAAGTGACCATCAGGTGCTGGGCCACCTCTGGGACATCCACAACACCCCAAAACCTTGGGATTTCCTGCATCACCCCCAGTCCTGGGGGACACCACCTCAGCCCTGGGGAACCCACTGGCTCTTTGGAAGATCTCTGGGTGTCTCGGTGCTGGCCCAGTGCTTACCCACCACGGCATAGCCCCCTGGCACGATGCGGTAAATGTTGCTGTCAGCATGGATACCATCAGGGAACCAGGCTGCCATGCTCTCCCCCACCAGGCGCCCAAAGGCTGCCCCTGCCAACAGAGAGCAGCTGGGAGTGGGTGCGGGGGCATTCCCAGCACCTGACCCAGTCTCTGCCCCAGCGCTGCCAGGGAAGGGGACACCTGGGGACACCCATGGGTGCCCAGTGTGGGCTGGCAGGCAGCTACGTCCTCCCACAGTGCCTGCAGGAGGTAAAGGCTCTCACCAATGACAAAGACAGGCATGAAGGCTCCACAGGGCACTGGGATGGTGGTGGCCAGGGCTGACATCCAGAACTGCACAGGGGACAGAGGTACAGATTAGTTGTCCCACCCAGTCCAGATCTGCCTCCTTCCCCTACTGTGTCCCATAGGCAGGTGCCATGGGCAGTATGTGGGCACAGCATTGTGCCATGGGGCAGCCCTACTCCTCTCATGGGCACTACAACAGCACCTGCCAGGTGGCACCTGGAGGCACCCAGCCAGGACCCATTTGGTGGTACCTTGTGGCATCTAGCCAGAACCTCCCTGGTGGCACCTGGCCAGAACCTCCCTGGGGGCACCCTTCCAGCACCTCCTGCTGGCATCTTGGTGGCTCCTAGCCAAGTTCTCTTTGATGGAATCTTGCAGGCACCTAACTCTGGGAACAGACACTCAGCCTCACAGTGCCACCTTGCTGGCAACAATCTGGCACCTCTCTAGCAGCATTCAGGAGTCCCTCCTCAGAGGCTCCTGGTGGCACCCCAGGGCTGGCAGGGACAGAAGGCACCCACCTTCATGAGAATGAAGACAACAAGAGTGACAAAGACGTTGGAGCGGGGATGGCGCCAGGCCTCCAGGATGCCCAAGTACTCAAACTCATCGCTGATCCCCTGCTTGGCCCACGTTTGGTTGTCGAAGAGTGTCACCAGAGTGTCCTTCTGGGTGAGCTGGTGAGGGGCACGAGGTCAGCTGGGGCTGGTGGTGGCTCCAGGGTGGGGACTGGTGTGCCACCCCATGGCGGGTACCCGGCCAGCCATGAACTGTCCAAAGCCGGGCGGGAAAGTCAGTGTAGAGATGAGCAGTGTCACCAAGGCAGGGAAGAGCAGGCGCCTGGCAGGGTGGAACAGGATGAGAGTGGTGATGTCAGCACATCCCCAGCTCCACCACTCAGGTGTTGGGAACCACTGGGCACCTACTTTTTCATGAGAAAGCGGTTGATGGTCTTCTGGCGGCGCATGAATTGCACGATCTTGCGGTTGAGGTAGACGAAGAGCGCACCCCCGAAGCCACTGGCAATTCTGGGCAGGAGCAAGGGGTGAGCACACATGGGTCCTGCTGCCACCACCAGCACTGCCACCACCATCATGACCATCATTGCCACCATCATCATGACCATCATGCCCAGACCAGCACCACCAGCACAGCCACTGCCACCCCGGGGCCATGGACAGGTGCCACAGCAGCAGCACTCACCCGATGACAGCGAAGGCGGGAAGCTCCTGCAGGTCGAAGGGGAAGTCGAGGCGGAAGCGGGTCTTGAACAGTGCTGTGATGGTCTCTGAGGGGAGCAGTGGGGGTCAGCTGAGCTGGGCAGGGGGACTCCCGTGTCGCCCCCCCCCACTAGAGGTACCTTCATCCTTGTTCCAGACAGCAAGGACACGGAAAATGAAGGCACTGAAGGTGGCAGCAAAGAAGCCTCGCCAGTAGTTGCGGACAGCAAAGAAGGTGGAGGTGACCTCGATGCTGAAGAGGACGCCTGGCACCGAGGAGAAGCGCACAAGGGAGGTGGCGAAACCCAGGTGCACCCCCAATGCCTGGCATGCTCCCCACCCCATGCAGGACCTGCGGGGATCTGGCCGGCCCCACTGGCAGGCTATGTGGTGGTTCAAGGGCTTCCCTGGCCAAGCACAGGGCTGGTCCCTAGCAGGGGACAGCGGGCATGGTGGAGCAGGAGTCTGCTCTGAGCAAGAGGGTAGCACAGGGATGTGGGGAGAGACATGGAGGGTGATGCTGGGAGCAGGGTGCACACAGATGGATGGACGGACGGATGGGGCAGCATGGCAAACAGAGGGCAAGGAAAGAGTTAGACACATCACCAACCTACGGGCAGGGCTCAGCGGGGCCAGAGCGGGGAGCTCCCTGGAGCACAGGGCGGCAGGGGAGAGGACGAGAGCAGACGTTACACCTCCGGGAGGATGGTGCCCGCTCCTCCCTTCCTCCTCCCCTCTGAGAAGCACTGTCCTCTCCCATGCCATGTCCTGGGGGTCCTGCTCGCCTTGCCAAGCAGACCCTGCTGCCCGGGGGGATGTGTGTGAGGGCTCGGGGGGCCTGGGGTGACCCTACCTCCAATAGGGGCGGCGAAGCAGCAGCCAACACCGACGGCACAGGCGGCCGCCAGCATTTCGATGTTCCTCGCCTCATTCTGCGGGTGAGTCGGGGGGGAGTGGGCACTGTCGTCCCCCCCCGTTCCCTGCCCTGGGCTCTGCCAAACCGTGCTGGAGGGCACAGGTAGAGCGTCCCTTGGGTCAGCCCGACCCACTCACCTCGTAGAAGCCCCCAAAGAGGGAGAGAAAGCGGCTGAGCAGGGCTGCGCACATGCTGGCAATGTGAACAAAGGGACCCTGCGGGGACAGCGGGGGGCTCAGGATGGTGGTCCCCCCAGTCTCCTGCCCACCCTGCCCCAGGCTCTGCCCTCACCTCCTTGCCTAGGGGCATGCCGCTGCCCAGGGCACACGTCAGCCCGATCACCTTGGCCACAAAGGTCTTGAAGGTGAGGTACTCCTTCAGCACAACGCCCCGCAGGATGGTCTTCATCTCAGGGATCCCGGAGCCTGGCACCATGGGGACAGCCCTGACCCACAGTTGATGGGGGAGGGACACTGGGGGCCAGCTGCCCATAGTTCTGGGGGTGGTCCCTGATGCTCTGCCATCCCCCACTGTCATAGGGACATCCCAGAGACAACCTCTACCCACAGTAAGGTCTGCAGGAACAGCCCCATGGTCATGTAGGGACACCCCCACCCACAGACCTGTGGGGAGCCCAGTGCCATAGCCCGCAGGAGACCCTCTGAATACCAGCCCATTGCCTTAGGAAGACCTCCAGGACCTTCGACCCTATAGGCCAGGAGAACATCCACTCCAGAGACTCCAGGACACCCTCTAGAAGCTCTATACAAAGCTCTAGAAAGAGCCCAAGGAGCCCCAGACCCATAGCCTAGGAGAACATTAATCCCATAGCCCCCAGGAGACCTTCTGAAGACTACTCCATAGCTCTTGGAAGACCCTCAGGATTCCCAACCCCATAGCTCAGGAGGACATCCAGGCAGCTCCCAACCCACAGTCCCAGGGACGTCCCATTAGGGTGTAGGCAGCCCCCACAGTACCCTACCGACAGCCTGGGGTGCGAGGATCTGGGTGAAGCCAGCTGAGAAGGTGATGAGCACAGTGGGATAGGTGACCCAGGCCAGGTACTGCAGCAACACGTTGGTGTCCAGGCCTCCGTACATCCACTTCTGGGCTGTGGGCACAGTCAGCAAGGCAGGTCATGGGTGGCAAGGTGCATGACATGGCTCTGTGGCACAGCCATGTGGCACTGCCACCCCCTGCCCCATCGATGCCCACTCACCTTGGAGGCAAGTGGCGATGGCAAAGTCCATGGCCCAGCTGACCAGTGCCATGACCAGCCCCAGAAGGATGAGGAAGACCCAATCCTCACCCACCTTGGAGATGAGGAACCGCTGGCACTGCAAGGTGCAGACTGCAGGCAAAAGAGCAGGCTCAGGGACAGGTGGCCCAAGGATGGGGCACACTGGGGTGGCAGGGCCATGCTGGTGGGGACACGAGTGTTCACAACCAGTGGTAGCGCTGCCAGCACCATCCAGTGTGGGAGCACCACCGTGACCAGCCCTCATGGCTGTGCTGCAACCACTGGTGGGCAGGTACAGTGGGCAGGAACAGTGGGCACGTGCCTCCCACCAGCACAGCCCCCCTGGCACTGTGCCATGCAGAGGGACTGGGGGCCCCCCAGTCCCTGTAGTGTGCCCGGCTATTTTGGGCCATTGTGTCCCCGCTGCTCGGCAGGCAGGTAGCATTGTCCTCGGCGCCGGTGTTCCATGACAGCCGGAGAAACCCTACCCACTGTCATCCTGGCGGGGTGGGCAGCCATGCCCAGCCACATGGCAGCGTGGGCTATGCCCACTGTGTTTTCCCCATCCCTGGTGGCCCTTCCCACGGCAGGGGGCACAGCGGCCCTGGGTGTACTCCAGCAGCTCGGAGGGGCGGCGCAGCCGGGGGAAGCCCCCCTCCCTGTGCCCCTGTTGCAGTCGCAGCCGGGCCGCCTCATCCTTGGCGAAGGTGCCCAGGTCCTGTGTGTAGCGTCCATACATCTGGGGAAGAAAAAGGGGGGTGAGGACATCAGGGGGGCTGGCACCCTAACTCCCACACCCAAGTGGGGAACTGAGGCAGGGGAGCACTGGACGGGCTGGCATGGCTTCCCAGCACTGGTGGAGAGTGTCAGCTGAGGGGTCAGGCGGCTGCAGCACCCGCAGGGGAAGGGACAGTGGTGCCTCCAGGGGTCCCCAGCCGCCTGCCGGGGCGTGGGAAGGGGCCCGGCAGATAAGGCACAGTGGGATCAGTGGTGATTGTTTCGCCCACGCACCCAGCGCAGGCAGCCAGCACCACCAGTACCAGTCCCTGGCCCTGCCCAGGTGCCCCGGGCACTGGGTTGGGCTGATGGAGGGTGGGGAAAGGCCTCCAGCAACGGGAGCACAGCCAGCCTGGCCAGGAAACTCTCCAAGGGCTGGTTTTGGGGTTGTACTGGCACTGTGCAGGTGCGTCCCCTTGGCATCACTTAAAGCAGGGCTGGGTCTCCTCCCCAGGAGGCAGGCTTGGCAGGCCACATGTGACCAGTCTCAGCCAGCAGCAGAGAGGCAGGAGGGCAGTGGGGCGACAGGGCATGTCCCCAGTCCCAGGGGAGAGGGGCACAGCATTGGGCAAGGGGGCCACCCCTGAGCTGTGAGGAGGGGCTTTGGTGAGCGAAGGGGTGCAAGGGGCTCCATGCCCACGTGGGGACCACCTCCTCTTCCTTGCCTGCCTCCTGCCCAGCCATGGCTCATGGCCTGGCCCTGGCTGAGGGCAGCCCTGGCAGTGCCCCCCATGCCGGTCAGGAGCTCTTTGTGCCTGTTCTCCCTGCCGAGCCGGGGGCATTTGTCCCGCACTGGAGGGCACTGCCAAGGACTCGGTTGCTTGGTTTCCGCCTCGCTTCCCCCCCCCCGGGCATGACCTGAATGCCAAGCACCAAAGTTTTGGCCCTGCACAAAGGGAGGCTGCAGGGCTGTGGGGGCCCCCGCCAGGCTCCCACGTTGGGGCGACGTGAGCCCCATGCTGATGGTGTGCCCGCACCCCATGCCAGCACAGCCAGCGGCTGCCCAGCCGGGGCTCTGCCACCCTCCTCCCTGGCACAGCCCGTGCCGGTGCCTGGTGAAGGGGCAACGCCACGGGTGGGCACCGCGCTCGGCACGTGGCGACGGCTGCGGGCGGTGGTGGCTGCCCCAGATGCCTGGGTCCTCATTCATACCCCCCATGCCTGCTGGCACGTGCCAGCTCCTCGTGAGGATGGTGTGAAGTGCACTTCTCACAGGGCATTGCTCCTGCCCAGGTCCCTTTGGCAGGGAGCAGAAAGCAGCCAGAGTGGCGCCAAGTGGATTCTCTGCTGTCTAATACCTGGGTTGAGCTCAAGAGTGGGAGGGAAGGTGGGGAGGCAGGCAGGGAGCGAAGGGCACGTTTTCATTGCTGAACCCCTCCTGGCACATATTTCCCCCCAAACCTCTGCTCTTCACAAGCTCAGTGGCTCCTAACTCTACAGAAATGTGCCTGGTGGGAAGGCACAAGCTGAGCACAGATGCTGGCATGGCCACTCTGGGGGCTGGTTCCAGAACTGGCTGCCAAAGGACAACCCCAGCCCTGCATGGAGACCAGCATTCAAAGGCTCCCTTTGGGCAAAGCTTGTTTCCTCTGGAACACAAGACGGGCCAGCACCCCAGGAGTATTGTCCCTCTGCCAAACGCCTGCTTCTCCCGGCCCCACTGCTGCCCCATAGCCAGCCCTGGCCAGGATCGGGGCACCCCCAGGCTGAGTGCCCCCCAAATTAGCTCCACCTCTTGGGGCCATGCCAGAGGCCAGCATGCTTACCCCTGCCACCCTGTGCCACCCTGTTGCCCCTATGCCACCCCGCTGCCCTGTGCCACAGTCCTGCAGGCAGGGCAAGGGACCCTGGGGGTGCCCTGTGCTGGGTAGCCCCACCGCCATGCCCACCGCCCGGGTAAAGCTT